GACTACCCAGCAGCTGGAGGCTACCCGCTTGATGGGCGCGTTGAGGTACATGTCCGACATGAAGAGGTACTTGCACGCATTCAAGTTGCCGTTGGAGCACGCGATGTGCATGAGCGTGCTCTCGGTGCTCTTTTCGACGAGCCGGTTGACGTCAAACGCCTTGTCGTCGCCGGCCGAGAGCTCCTGAGGATTGCGATCAGCGAGAGCCCCCGTGACCGACCATCGGTACCTCGATGAGATGTTGGACCGTCCCGAGGTCGTTCGACGTGGTGGCCGCGAAGATCGTCTGCGCCAGGTCGGGCATGCTCCTGGCCCGAAAACAACCCCACAAGAACACCGACCCAAGGCCAAGGCCGCTGTAGGATTGGCTGGAAACATAGTATTTTGGCCAATCATCGCAAGGTTGAAGTTGCTCGCTGTCCAAATCCACGTTTTAAGTGGCCGGGGTATACAAATTGTATTTACCCAGGCCCATATATGACCCAGGCCGATTCAAACGTGGATTTTGCTTTTTGTCCAATCATCGCGCTGTATTTTTATACACTATTGTTTCGAACTCCATTTCAACTTTAAAACATATTATATTATTATCTGTATTTCGCTATGTGAGGTAGGCGGAATAGTAAAATATTATGCTTCGAAACATATTTACTCTGGAGCGGCAGCAGGCAGCGAGGACGAGTTCCATGACCGACGACCTCTATGCCCGATTAGCGGCGAGTCGAGCACCCACCTCTCTCTCGGACCTCTATGACGAAGCAGGCCGCGTGTCTCGTGTCCATCGGCGTGGATGGACACGTGCTTGCAGTAGACCAGACGTTGCCGGTTGTCGAAGCGTCTTCGTCTTTTGGTGGGCTTTTCCGGCAGATTGGGGACGCGGCCTGCTTCGTCATAGAGGTCCGAGAGAGAGGTTGGCACCATGCCCAGTTCAGCAAGAACGACACCATAAGGAAGGACAAGCTGATGAAGGCTGCTCAGCGCGGGTCCATCAACGGAACCCCGCGTACTGCAAGAACCACCGTCTTCGTCAAGCGCTGCAGCATCAACCTCAAGCACTGAAGGTCACCAAGAGCACCAAGCAAACAACCACGAAAAGAGGCAGCCTGCCCCGACAAGCGAAGCGCGCTTAGCTCAACTTACCTTGATGAATTGAGTACCGTTAGTCGTACTTTCCGACATCTTCTCTGTATGCAGTACATAGGCCATACATATCTCGATAGTACCAAGTGCATCAACGCAGAGTAGCCCCGTCTTTTATAGCCAAGGCGATATTGGCGATTTTGGACATGTTGACGCGAATCGCGTCGTCGAGGAACTTGACGGGCCGCTCTCGGTCGACGGCCTTGGCGAAGAGGTCGGACATGTTGTTTCTCCTGCAGCTTGCGCTATTCGACGTATTCGCTGCAGATGAGATGGCCAAAGTGCTTGTGCGAGCCGGGCCATTGACATAGCGCGACTACTACTTCTCGCTCCCGCCCAACGTCGACCAAATGCAGCGCTACGCTGGGAAGCTCTTGATCTTAGCCAATATGACGCTCTGCGCCGCCTATGCGGGCAAGTCGTGGAGTGTATGGGCATAATGCCGACGGCGCGTTCTTGGATGCGACGTCAATCGGGTACGCGGCCATGGCCATGTGCCCCATCCAAGCTTTTCATGGTCGCTGCCTACCTCACGTAGACGTGCGCGGCTACCAACAAGTCGTGCCTACTCGCGCTCTGCAAGCTCCTCGCGTTCGCAAGCCATTTTGCAAATCTACCCACTGTGTGATGGCGCGTCCGCTGTCGCTGGAAGACTTGCTAGGTAAAGAGAGACGAGCAACTTGGCGATTGTGTTTGAATAGGACGTCGTCCCCGAAACACACCAGTTATGGCGTAGAGATGCCCAACACGGTTGTGCAATGCGGCTCGCATCGCGAATGGCGTCTCAGGCTCGGTTTTCTGCACGTGCGGGTATGTGAACTATGCACATCGCAAATTCGTAATAAATCACAGAAATTCGTAATAAATCACAGAAATACGAGCAACTTAGCGGGGACCATCGGCCCCGCGTTCTTGGCCCACGTCTCGTCGAAATACGTCAACACCGTGTCGTCTTCGATGTCGTCCTCGATGTCTTCCAGCTCCGGGGTGCTTTCAATCACTACAGCCTTCGACAGCCAATGTCCACTTTTGCCACTAGAATCTCTACCTCGGGAGCACGGTGCGTCGTCCCTTCACAGGGCAGGTGGAACCGAAAAGAACATGCATCTTATTTACACGCATACAGAAGAGCACCGTTGAGGCCTATATACCAAGTATACATCGCGCGGCAGGACAAGCTCATGCCGAGTAGGGCAGCGGGATGGCGGTGCCAACGACGACGAGACCTGCAAACGGCTGGAGCTGGCTCGCGCTCAGCCCGAGCTTGCGTTGGGCCAAGAGCATTGCTCGCCGCTTGGCACTCTCGTCAAGGCGCTGCTCGCAGAGCGCGAGCGCTTCGATGCGGCGCGCGATCTTTTGGACCCGCGCCACATCACGGGCCCGTCGACTCTGCGCCCGCGCGCCAACTGCCCGCGCTTGGAGTAGTGCCACGCGCCGCCGTTCGGCGTGGAGCGCGATCGTCGCTGCCATCGCTGTCTTGACGGCCGCGTCGACAACGTCCGTCGACTGCCGCTCAAGGCGCGCAAACGTCACGCGCTGGATCGTGCGTCGCGCCGTCTCTTGCTTGGCCTCGCGCACGTCGTCTCGACGGTCGGCAGCGTTTCCATGGCGCATGGCTGCGACGAACCCGCGCTCGGCCCGCGCGTCGGCGAGGTATTTCTACATGCAAATGATCAAGGTTTCAATCTTTCAATGTGGCAGAGTGCAATTTCGTACCTGCCGCCCGGCGACGAGTGCGCGTGCGAGGAGGTGCGACCGCGCGCGCTGCGTCCGAGCAATCGATGTGCGCAAGCCTGCGCTCTCCATGCCGTACGCGTACGTCAGTCGACGCGCCTCTTCCCTGCTCGCGAGCCGCCGACGCACAATCTCGCCTTGGGCGGCAAAGAAAATGGCGGCCGCGACCTTGTCGGCCATATATAAAAGACGCTTCTCGTCGGCGCGCAAAAGACGAAACTCAAGATGCGCCCGAAGCGACTCGGTGGCAAACTGCACGCGGAGGCGCGCGGCGTCACGCTTCGCAGCCGCTTCGTCGGCGCCGGCGCGGATCGCCGCCAGATGCAGCGCCCGACGGATCTCGGCCGACCGAAGCCGCACAAACGAGCGCGACCGAAGGCACTGGGCACGAAACTGCGCTGTATGGTCCCGCCGCTCGCGCACGCGCTGTGTATGGAGCCAGCGCGCATGCGCCGCCTGGGCTTGCGCATGTTGCAGCTCGGCGACCCGGAGCGCGGCGAGC